TACTAAATCGAGGCAACTCACCGATGAAGCCTCATAATAATCCACCATCCATAATATTCAGACACAAATGCTCTTGTTACATTAGTAAAGGTCCAGACGATCCAATCCAGTCAAATATTTAGTCCAAAACACATTATTACCATAAAGACCCACGGACTGCTGTTGCATCATTTCAAATTAGCCGGCAGATATGCCTAATTAGTTATGGATTTCCATCGGAACTCCAAATCACATGTAAACATTAACACTCTCTGGGTCTCAAAATGGCGGCTGCACTCTGACCTTTCAATTGACACCTCACTTGATCCAACAGGAGCTTCCATGTCCTCTCCACAGCCTACAACAGGAGCTTCCATGTCCTCTCCACAGCCTACAATAGGAGCTTCCATGTCCTCTCCACAGCCTACAACAGGAGCTTCCATGTCCTCTCCACAGCCTACAACAGGAGCTTCCATGTCCTCTCCACAGCCTACAACAGCCAACGAGAGTCGGCATTGAAGGACAGTGCCCGCCCCTCTTCTTTCGTGTAAAGAACGAGCCAATTGCAACCGATTGTTCTGATGACTGACGCTTCGTATAGCCAATGAAATTTAAAAAATGACGATATACAGATTCAGGGGTTAGATTTAGAGGCAGAACGAGGAAGTAGCTGCGTAACTCCGAGTCTGCTGCCTGGGTATGATGCAAAGTGTGGATTTTTAGAGTTTTGGAGACTTTAGGAAAGTGAATAAAGGTGAAATAACTTATAGATAACTGTATTTAGACATGAATAAGCTTTAGTCTGAATTATGAATACACATTTCTACACAGCCTAGGTATGTGACCATGGTCCAAATGGTCTTTTTTGGAAAGCGCCTCGACATACTCTTAGTAAAACATGTATAGAATATTCATTTTCTGTGGTATTGTTATCAGATCTGAACCTGGACTAGGTAAGGCTTCATGCTGTGGTCCCATTGTGTTTTACAGCTAATAAGTCTCAGCTATAGTCATCTGCAGGCATCTGTTCGCAAAGAAATCAAAACCTTCTCCTTCAGTGTGTTCAAACTTCTATTACTCAATGCCAGTAGCACGTACAGTGATTCTGACTGTTGGGGAAGAAACTTCAGAGTGTTACCTTTCACAAGAGACCAAAAGCATCCATGTACTCCACATGGTTCAAGAACAGCCTTCAGTTGACTTTGGGTACGCCTTGGATCGGCCTTTTAGGCTCATGTTACTGGAGTGGTGACAGGTTTTAAACAGCTTTTTACTCAAATATGAAAGTAAAGGTCTGTCTCAGATATGAAACCATAATAAATGTTATTTCTGGTTTCATCTGCTCTTTCGGTCAGTAAAGGTCCTTTTGGAATGACTGAACTGTATTATTCTTTCAGGGAAACAGAACTCAAACCAAACAAAGGACAGATTAGCACAAGTTTTACTGCTGTAACTCCATCTCACATTCCTTCAAAGTGAAATGTGGCTCATGTCAGTCCCAGTGGGTTGAAGTGAAGGTGATTGGCTGAGAAACTCTGCTTCACTAATGAAGAAACAGATAGATGACAACAAATATGAAATGCACACAAGAGGAGACCAATCAATAAAAGATAGATTTCTGATACTTTCATGTATTTTTTACGAGGATTTTATGTGAGACCTTCTGCCTCCATCGGTCAGTGTGTGTGTGTGTGTGTGTGTGTGTGTATGTACCCCACCTGCCTCTTGAACCAGGTCCTTAGGGCTCGCCTTAGGGGATGTGTGTGTGTCTGTGCTGGCCAGTTTTTCATGTCGTTGGTATTCCACGTCCATTGCTCTTTCGTGTGTGTGTGTCTGTCTGTGTGTCAGTGTGTGTGTGTGTGTGTGTGTGTGTGTCAGTGTAAGAGAAAGTGGACACTTCACACAGAATCTGTGAGGAGCAACATCAGTAATGTATGAACAGGTGTGGGGAGCAGAGGACTGGAGGGTTAGTGAGAAGAAGAAGCTTCATGTTGGAGATGTAGAATCAGAAAAAAGAGAAAAAAGGAACCAAAGCAGCTGGAAAGAGAAGTCGACAGCTTTAATCCCGTCAGAACGTTCCCAACATCTCAATGAGATAACTCTCTCCTCATTAAAAACTGTAGAAGAGAATATGTGTGACACTAAGAAGACAAACGTCTTCCCTCCTGTCACTCTACTTGTGTTTGGCTCACAGGAAGTTTAACGTCTCCTTCAAGGACTCTTTGGCAGAGCTGATGTGCTTTAGAGACACAATCTCACACATTGAGGGAAATAAGCTTAAAACCAAAGGACTCTTCGTTTGGTTACTGTGAAAGACAAGATCCATATTTTCCTTTTTGACAGTTTTAATAATCATCAGCAGCTGAATTAAAAATCAGTGTTCAGACACACAGACAGACAGACAGGGACATGAAGACGAGGATGACATAAGCTCTTTATAAGATGCTTTGCAGCTCTATCTTCGCTGTGTGTTTTCTTAGTTTTCTGTGTTTAGTGTGTGTGTAGTTTGTGTGCTTTTGTTCTTCTGGTTCTGTGCTGTGGAGTGTGTTTGTGTGTAAAGAGGCAGCACATGTCTGGAGGAGTGTGTAATCACATCTTATTTCCCATGATCCTCTGCTCTCCCTCGACTATAACAACCCCATCCTTTTATTCTCAGCTTTCTTTTCCTCTTTCTTTTTTAAATCTTCCCTCTCTCCAGTCTTTGCTCTGATACATGAAGCTGTGAGGCTTTGACTAAAGTATTGTGTGTGTGTGTGTGTGTGTGTGTGTGTGTGTGTGTGTGTGTTGAATTCATTATAACAAGTAACGGGCTTGAGGGAGTGTGTTATTCTCAGGTATATGCACACACACGTACACACACACACTCTCTCTCACACACACACTCACACAATCAGTTAGTCCTCAGGATTTGGAGGAATGTGTCCTTGTAAAAGTCAGAAGCAGTTCTCAGTAAAGAGCACTGAAGAGAGGGAGGAAGTTAGACTGCAGCTTCATTAAAACGTGGTTCTGATGTTTCAAACTCGTCTGTGGGCTACTTGTTAAACTTAAACAGTTTATGGATCAACAACCATCATCAAATTATTCAAAAGCACAACTTCCATCATCTCCTCATCGTCATAATGAACGATGAGGAGATGTTGTGTTGATGGAGAGTTCAGCTCCATCATCAGGAGCTTCTGTTGATTGTTAGCAGGAAGATGATTTAGTAACTCTGCAGTGTTTTCACTAAAAGTAAAGGTTAGAAGTGACACATTCTCTTTCAAAACAGCACCATCATTTACATAATTATGGTGCTTTTTCACAAACAGAGTCGGTTCTGCAGCCCATTGGTTGACTTCATGACAACACTTTGAATACTGGATGTATTCAACTAGAAATACTCAATGATGAACTTGGGACCTGATTGATTTGAACAAAACAGATGTACGGCAATTTGCAATAAAAGTAAATAAAATATGAATTTTCTCCACTCAAACACGGCATGAGGTGGTTATTAATACACCTGATGAGCTGTGTGTGTGTGTGTGTGTGTGTGTGTGTGTGTGTGTGTGTGTGTGAGAGAGAGAGAGAGCGAGCATTTGCTGATAAAACAACATTAATGAACGAATGTGTGAAGAGGAAAAGAAACGAGTTAGATGCGTTTCAGACAGAAACACGTTGATGGATGAGAACGTGTCCTGTTTCAGTGACCTTAGAACAGATGCACTTCCTGCATCATGAGGATATAAAACAAGGTCAGAGGTTCAAAGATCGACTCTTCAACACAGAAGTGTTCTTGACTTCGGTTAAAAGATTTATTTCCTGTTTATTACATTTTATTCCTCTTGGATTGTAAAGACTGAACTGTGTGCTGAGTGATGGCATCAGTGAGGGAGAGCATGACGTCACACATTCATGTTTCTATCACAAGCTGAACTATAAAAACATGAGCTGATATTATCCCATAAGTAACATCTTTATGTTGGGCTTCAGATATGTGAACTCAGTCAAATATTCACTCCTGAAAACACGTCACTGACGTAATTAGAAAAACTAAAATATGTAAACCTGTCACCTGATAAATGTGACAGAGGTTCATAGCAGCAGCTGTTACATTACATGTAGCAGACGCTTCTATCCAAAGAGACTTACAATTCAGATTCTATCACAGTCACACACAGTAGGCACAGGAAGGGAGTTAAGTGTGTTCTGAAGGACACATCGACATGAGACGGGAATCGAACCGCCGATCCTCTGATTGAAGGACGGCCCTGCTCTCCACTTAGCCACCGTCTATAGATAAACTTAGAGAGGAAGCAGCTCATCTTTTCATCTGTCTCAAACTGATTTTAGTCGACTCATTGTGATTCTCACTGCAACGGATTCTTCCATCTTTTCCTCTACCTGGGTGATATCTCTCCTCTCATGTCACACACACACACACGTATTCTGATGTTCTATCTTGTTTCATTCAGAGCTTTTTCTATTTCTACCGTTGTGTCTATCGTTTCAACTGATTCTGATTCTTCGTGTGTCGTTCTGAAGAGACGCTGCTGTCTCCAGTTGACAGCAGGGAGTAAAGCAGCTCCTCTACTCTCAGGCTGTTATTTTAGATAATGGTATAATGTGAATAAAGCAGCTGTCAGCCTCACGTCAGTGATGTGATGGAGCAGTGAGGCTCTCTGTGGTTACTCACACACACACACACACACACACACACACACACACACACACACACACACACACACACTGTGACGTCACAGCTGATTCCTCTACAACATAACATGTGACTGGAGAAAGACTCCCAACCGTCATGTTTTTGGATATTTTTATTAAATCAATGGAGGTCTGCAAATAAGTGTTTTGTGATTGGAAGAAGATGAGTTGTGATATGAAGGTGATCAGCTGGTGAGGGTCAAAACAAGCTGATGTGTGTGTCTTCTGATTGGTTGTTGGTCTGAACGTGTGACTCTTCTCTGATACCAAACATGAGGATAAGAATAATGGACGCTGGACTAACCCCCTCTGTTCCCGTCTCACAGCTCCACCGACCCCCATCGCCCCTCCTGAGCTTCTAGCCGTCGGCGCCACTTACCTTTGGATCAAACCCAACGCCAACAGCATCATCGGAGACGGGCCCATCATCCTGAAGGAGGTGGAGTACCGAACCACATCAGGTAACTGGGCGGAGACCCACGTGGTGGACTCCCCTACCTATAAACTGTGGCATCTGGACCCTGATGTGGAGTACGAGATCAAGGTCCTTCTGTCCAGACCTGGGGAGGGAGGAACAGGACCGCCGGGTCCGCCGCTGGTCACCAGGACCAAATGTGCAGGTGGGTGACGCCTCTGTTATCTTTTCCCTTCTGTCTTTCTTAGAGGCTTTAAGTTGATCTCAGCTTTGTTCTGTTCTTTCCTTTATTCACCGTGCTTTTGATTCGATGTAGTTCTTGCTGGTCTGGGTTCTGCTGTTGCGGATCAGTACATTTCTGCTCTGGAATGGTTCTGCTATGCCAACAAGAAGCAGCTGTGTCTTCATGTTTTATACTCAAAGTATGAACTGAACACTTATCAAATAGAATGTAGGCCGACTGCCGAAGGAGGTGAATAACCTGGGTTCTAGATAGGTTAGGGTTCTAGAAAGGTTAGGGTTCTAGAATGTTTGAAGCTCGGTCTGGGTCTAGAAGACACGTGAGCAAAAGAAGAAGGGAAAAGAAAAAGAAAGAAAAAGGAAGAAAAGTGACTTCTCAGGAACAAGAGCACGAATCAAAGATGAAGATAATTAGGACGTTAGGAAGGAGCCCGGAGGTAAAGGCCAGGTGGAGTGTGGGGGTTGAAGGAGCAGAGGAGGAGGAGATGATGAAGGAGGTTAGGTTGGGGCAATCATGGCCGATAACGAGGATCCCAGCAGGGGTGTAAGGACACAATGAGTGGCAGTTCATTTGATAACTTGACAGCCCATCAGATCTCTGGTGTGTGTGTGTGTGTGTGTGTGTGTGTGTGTGTGTGTGTGGTCGGTCTAGTTAACCCAGCAGGAGGCACCCATCACCACTGCCTCTTCTTTCTGTTCAGGCTGGTTTCCTGTCTCCTCTATGAAATGTCCTTCATTTTCCGCTCTCTCGCTCTCTCTTGTCCTCTCTCTTGTCCTCTCTTTTGTCCTCTCTTTTGTCCGTTGATGTGTGGATGGAGAGATGAGGAGAGTTTGGTGAAGGTGTGAAGGAGATTCTGATCAATCTACATCTAATCTAAGCATCCCTGCTGTATTGTGTCTGTTCTTCATCACCTTATCTTCTGCCAGTCTGGGCTTCTGTGTTTGTTGTTCATGTTTCAAAAAAGTTCTGTTAAAACTTTGGAGGATGAAGCTGGCAGGTTTGATTTATTCTGTGTGTGTGTGTGTGTGTGTGTGTGGCGTCCATCTCCTGTGTGGTAATCAGCAGGTGAGGAAAGACTCTCTCTCCCTCATCTTTGCCCTCCCTCTCCTTTTTTCTCTTCCACTCTATTTCCATCTTATTCTTCGGACACCATTTAATATTTATCCGACTGTTAACAAACTCTTCCCTTTTACATGTTTACTACAAAGATCAGCAATGTCTCAAAACTGGGCATTTTACTTTTAGCAAATGTTACTCAATCAGAAGTAAATGGTGAAATATCATCAGCTCTCACCCTCCTCCTTATTACTCCGTCACCTTTTACTCTCAGCCTAAACACGACCTTTCAATAATGAACTGGAAGAGCAACACACACACACACACACAACAAGCTTAAAGAGATGGATGCAGAGAAGAGGAGGAAGACAAAGGTGTGATGGAAGAGGGACAAAGACAGAGATAACTGATGTGAAGTGGGACATAGGTGGTGGTCACTGTGTGTGTGTGTGTGTGTGTGTGTATGTGTGTAGTGTGTAGTAGAGAGGAACATGTGTTTCTGCTAGCCACACAGTGATGAGCTGTCACAACCAGTCCCGGGTGTGAGTGTGGTTTGTGTGTATATAAGTGTGTGTGTGATGGGATTGGAGCAGGCAGGTATGACAGATGTTCAAAAGCCTGCTGGCTACTGGCAGTGTTGGCGTTGATGTGTGTGTATTTGTCTCCACACCTTCCGTGTTCACCTTTCTGGTCATGTTAGCGTCTACAGCTCTGCTCAGGCCTCAACAGCAGGCCTGATAATCCGACTTCATCGCACCCTTACTCATCATACGTGGCCGACGGGGAAGAAGCGTAACATGGGGTTAATGTTGTAACATTTAGTTAGGGCCCGAGCACCGCCGTAGTCGGAGCAGAGGACCTATTGTTATTCTAATGTTTATTATTATTAGGGCCCGAGCACCGAGAACGTCGGGCCGCGAGGTCCCTATTGAAACTGTAGGAATTATTATTATTATTATTCTCTCGAATGAAACGCCTTTTTGGGGGCTTTATCATGTCCCCAACCTCCCCATATTTGGTGAGAATATCAGGACTGCAGGAAGATTTGATATTTTATGGGTCCCATGCTCGAGCATGACAAAATTGCTCGCTAGCGCCCCCTAGAAGTTGGAAAGGTGAGCCCCGACAGCCTGTATGTCCAAATTACTTAAAATTTTACAGACATGAACAACTGAATGAGTTCTACAAAAAATCCTCTTGGGACCCGAAGCTCCGCCTACCAAAATGTTCTGCCATTTTGAATTTTGTAAAGCATTTTGTAGACCCTGGGTCTGATTGGTACCAAATTTGCTGTGAATCATTATTGGATATGTATCATCAAAAGTTATGAAAAGTTTGTTGATATCTTATTGCATTAAGAATATATAGACCAATGAATTTCATAGGGGCGTGGCCTCCTACAGGCCATTTCACCCGTTAACCGGAGCTCCGGCGGCTGCGGGAAACCCAACGGCGGTTTTCTCCGCATGCATCTTCTAGCATGGCACATCTGTGAGAGCGTTGTGAAGAGTAGATGGAGGAGGCGAGCTAAAATCAACCCTCCGTTTGGCTGACACAGCCTTGATAATGATTCATTTCATCATGAGCCACCCACCCCCCCTCTATCTACCTCCTCTTCTTGCTCCCTTCCCTCGATCTTTCCTTTACTCACTCCTTTACTTTTCAAGGCTTTCGGACTATTCATCACCCTGTTTTCATCTGGATAATGTCTCTCTATACCCACCTCTTTTTTATAATTGACACTCAGTGGGCCAGCTGTCCCCTCACTCCTCTAACGTGTGTGTGTGTGTGTGCTAATCTTTCTCTCCTAAGTTAGTATCGTTGCTCTTCTGTCAAACACAAACACGCTCCTGTGACATCTTACTTTCCTCCCTCCTCGTCTTCGATCTTTGCCTCTCTGTCCTCCTTTCTTCTTCTTCATCTTTCAGTCTCTTCTTTCCTTTATTTAAAATATTACCTTAAACTCAATATTCATTACATAGAATGTGAATCATAGCTCTTATTCGTGTCTCTATAAATATCAGATTTAAACTTTATCATCACCTCAAAGTGCAACTGCAACCTCCTATAATCTCCTCACTTCTTCTCCTCTCCTCCTTGTACATTTATATTTGTATGTTGTGGATGATAATGTAAGTGTTGGCTAATACGGTACCCTATAAAGATGGACTTTTAATTCAGCCACTGTACATACATCTTCTTTGAGTATCTGTTCTCTTGCTTCTCCAACATCTCCTTCCCTCCTGTCTTCTCTATATAAGGCAGATGCTAATGTGAGTGTTGGCCAATATGCAGGACTCTATAAAGACTTACAGTAATTCACCAGAGGGTTATATACTGCATCCGCTCGCCATCTCCCCCGTTTCTTCTAAAGTAGATCTTTATGTGAAGGATGCTAATGTGAGTGTTGGCTAATGTGTGGCTCCATAAAGATCGATTTTTAATTCACCTGCTGGGTATAAGCTGATTTGGCTGACACCACCGCTTCACCATTCTACCGAGCCGAGCAGTTTGGATGTAGTCAGAGTGCATGTTCTCTGCAGCCAGCACAGGTAGAACGGTACAAATTAACATTCTGGGTGTGTTTTAAATAAGCAGATTGTGTTGAAAAGATGATGACTGTAGATGTTTGTCAGGAGCAGATGTTAACGGACAGAACAAAGTCCACCTGCTCCTCCATCAACTTCTCCGTTTCCAGCTCTCTGCTTTCTCCGTCCTCCTTCCTTTACTTCCCAGGCTGTGATCAGGTTGGTTCCAGTACAGTAGTCCAGTAGGTTTTGGGCCACTGGGAGCTTCTAATTACTTCCCCACCTCTTCCTCCTCTCATACTCTAATGTGCCTTTAGATTATCCTTGTTTTTATTTATTTAGTCAAATTATTGATGTCATCTTAAGGGGACATTTAGTGTCTCGCAGCCCCTTATCATTAGTCATTATTTATCTTACTTATGATCATTTCAGAATATACATTTTTTATTTTATTTTTTTATTATACTATATTGATCCCTTTAAGGGGGACATTTGTCTCTGCATTTGACCCATCCCTGTATATAGGGAGCAGTGGGCTGCCAATGACAGGCGCCCGGGGAGCCGTTAGGGGTTCAGTGTATTGCTCAGGGACACTTCGACACGTGACATGTCCCAGTCGAGGATCGAACCGTTGAACTTTCGGTTAACCCAGTGAGCCACGGTCGCCCCTCAAACTTTATGGAGCATCCTCAGATATAGACTGTGTTCTATGCAAGCCAAATTCATCTGAACCTTTTTTGAAGTAAAATTAAGAAGAACAAAGCTGAGCTGCACAGAAATAATGTGAACATGAAGTACATCAGCTCTTGGATCAAAGTTAAACTAGGAAGTAGTTCTGTAATGAACTACTAAACTAGACTACTAAACTAAAGTTCAATCAACTTTACAAGTAATATATTCTCAGTGTTCATGACTTCCCATGTGTAGTGTTGGGATCTGACTATATGGCTTCGACATGTGCTGTGGAACAAAGAGAGTCAGGCCTTCCCTTTTGCAAGCAAAGGTTTCATCCTGATTGTAGTTTGAGCACCAAACCCCAACTCTGAAGAAATTCACATTAGGGTGTGAGTTTCCTCCCCCCAAAAACTATGCATTCCTGAAGGTACCTGAAAGCAGCGCTGCAATCTAATTGGCCGAGAGCCAAGACACCCCAGGACCCCTGTGGTTCAGCCACTGTTCTACAAAACTCTGCAACCCCCACCTCAATGCTTTTTCCCTTCGACCTCCGTCGAGCTAGGGAGCACACCAACGTTGTTTCCCTTTTCAACCAAATCCTAGGTCTAACAGTTTATATTCGCTGGCCGAATTCACCAAACTGTCTATTTTATCTTTGTTCGTATCCACGAAGCGAACCCCTTTTTAGTCCTGCAGAAGTGAAGA